CACCCCAGTGGGTGAGGCTTTCGGGGGGAGGTACACGTCGTTCATTTCTAATCGTGTTCATTTCTAACTGTGCTCGGTTCTAATTGTTCCTGCTCCCCTAGTGGCCAGGAAGAGGCCCGGGATAGCACGATTAGACATGAAAGGATCTTGGCCCCCCCCACAAAAAATCAAAGAACCGTCGACGAATTAGACATGCACCATGGGCAGCTGCCGCAGGAAGCCCTCCCCGCGGCAGCGAGGTGTGCAGGGGCGGATCGAGGAGCAGGGCAGGTCGGCTCGTGCAGGCCAGGGGCGAGGGCACGGCCGCGCGCACTTCGTCGGCTGTGCGGGGATGGGAACAAAGTCCACCCCGACAGTCACCACCCCGACACGCGAAGCCGTTTCGCAAACGCGCCCAAAGGAGGAATAAAACCAGGCGAGGCTGTTCAATAAACGCCCAGGGCCGTTCAGTGAACGCCAATTGTCCGGTCCGGGTTGGACAGGAACCCCTTTAGCAAAACGTGGCTTAAGTGATAACGACCTCGGACCCAAACCTGGCGGGCGCAAGCCTGGAACATGACGGCCGCGGCGCCCTCTCGGGCACCGAGAACGGACAGTGCACGAATCGACGTGTCAGGGTAGGGGTTTTGTCCACCCCCGATCTTTTCTACAAGAATGAAGGGACCCTGGGACACACAAATAAATACACACAAATAACAGGAAACTGATACTTTCCAACATGTTCTGGGTTTTTGTTTTCCCCCCCCCCCAGTTCCCTCTGGGGGATCGACGATTAATTGTGTCTGTGTGTTTTTTCCCTCCTGAAAGAAAGGGGGGTCGTGGCCGTCCGCCCCAAGCATGTAGCCGGCAGCGTGGCGAGAGCGAATCCTGAAGAGGTCTCGGGCGAGGCGGTGGGCTCTGGAGGGTGGAGGAGGGCGAGTTAGGCGCCTCGGCTGGTAGCCGACGGGCGCGGGCACGGCGTCTCCTCGCGGCCGTGTCGGCGGTCGGCGAGGCGGCCAGCAGCGGCCCAGGTTCCTGACAAGGCCAGGAGGCTGCTGCGCGCCCTGCCTTGCGCCTAGCCGCCACGAATCCCGAACGAATCTCGAAGACATCTCAGGCGAAAAGGGTGCCCGATCAAACGTCCTAGGAGCTCTCCGTCCCCATGCAGGGACTCGTATGTGGTCCTCTTTTATCACTGTTAGGGTAGCGGAACGCTATCAGGGAACATGGTCTCTTTGTCGCGGCGACTCTCAAATCCGGGCGGGCGGTGCAAGAACACCGCCACGGCCAATTTGTGGACGGTTGTGGCTTCTGGAAGCCGCTTCCAAGCCGTAGGGCCGTCAGAAATGACTCGGGATAAAAAGCCAGACCCGGGGAAACATTTTCCCACGGGCATCGGGGGAAACAAGTGCGGAGATCGGGAATTCCCGGTCAGGTGAGTCATCGTCCGTCGGGCAAAGCACACACAAACACTTTTTGGCGGTCGCGGTCTCGCGCGCAGCGACGAGGCGTAGCAAGTCAGGTGCCGCCCTGTGCACCCCCGCGTACGCCAGGCCCTCAGAAGCGGGAAAACCCGCTCGATAGGCCACCCAGGCGTGGGTGGCTGGTGAAGGAGAGACGGTGGACGGGGACAAGGTGATAGGCTCGGGGAAGGATCCCACCAGCGTGACAGAGGAGTGCCAAGGGAAGTACGGCAAGCACGCGATCGACCTGAGCGTGCGAGTTGCAGCCGTCAACAGAAAGCGGGAAATGACGAGGCAGAGGCGCCGTCTTGGAGTCGAAACACGGGCAGCGCTAGCGACGTGGCGGAGGGTGCATGTGCAATTCCTGCCACGGGAGGCGCTTCTGGGTGGTGGCAGGCTCCTCGGCGCGGTCCAGTCGGGCAGCTGACTGGAGAACGCGAGCCAACACCCAGCTGAGGAACCTGCTGAGCTGCTGAGTAGAGAAATTGTGAAGGTCAAGATTGGGCTCCGCGCCACCCACTCCCGGCCCGCTGGTGACGATCCACTCGCGCCAGAGGTATGCCGAGCACTCAGCGTTCGGGGCCTCGAGGTCGAGGAGCGCTTGGACGTTGCCGGCAAGCACGTGCCAGACGCCTCCCGAGGGGGTCGGAGCTGCTGGCGCAGCCTCAGGGAGAGCCAGAGCCCTCTGCCTGGGCGGTGGGCCTCCTCGCCTGCGGCGGCGCTGCGGTCCGCCCTCCGCGCGTGGCCTCGGAGGCCGTGGGAGCTCTGGCCCCGACGGGCGTCGCAGGGCGGGGGGCTCCTCTGGCCCGGGACGCAGGGGCCATCGGTGCGGGCTTGGAGGCGGCGGCGGGGCCGGGTCGTGGACTCGCAGCCTCGCGTGGCCGCCCCCTATGGTCTGCGAGGCTGGCCCCCATGAGCACGACGTGTTCTGGGCAGCGATGGCACCCACCCGGCTCCCGGGGGCCTGAGGCCGCGCCCCGAAGGCGAAAGAGATCTGCCTGGCTCGGCGCCCGGGCTTCCAAATTGTCGCCCAATGGCTGCCCGCGCCGCTGGCACGGTAGGGGTGGGGTCCCGGCTACTTCCCGCATGCACGGCATGCGCCCGCTCTCTGGAGCGCGTAGAGCATTGGCGCCGACGGGGCGGGGCAAGGGGAACCGGGGACTGCGTCGCCGGTCGGCTAGGCGGGGCTTCGGGGTCTGACCACCTCAGCCGCTGGAAGGTGCAGACCTCGTCCAGAAACGTGCCCACGGAATCCGCCCTGGATGGAACAGGAGTCCCCTCACGGGATGGGGGAGCCCCGATGGCAGCCTGGGAGCGACAGGAGAGTGGCGGTGGCAGAGCCTTGGCTGCGGGGCCCTCGTCAGCCCAAGCCACGTGCCGAATCGGCGTGGAGGAGTTGCCCTCGGCAGCGGTGCCTGGCGGTGCACACACACAGACACACAGACACGCAGACACACAGACACACAGACACAAAGACACACAGACACACACACACACAAACACACAAACACACACACACACATATACACACACGCGCACACGCGCACGCACACGCACGCGCACACGCACACGCGCACACGCGCACACGCGCACACGCGCACACGCGCACACGCACACGCGCACACGCACACGCGCACACGCGCACACGCGCACACGCGCACACGCGCACACGCGCACACGCGCACACGCGCACACGCGCACACGCGCACGCGCACACGCGCACACGCGCACACGCGCACACGCGCACACGCGCACACGCGCACACGCGCACACGCGCACACGCGCGCGCAGACGAACACGCGCACACGCGCACACGCGCACACGCGCACACGCGCACACGCGCACACACGCGCACGCGCAAACGCACACGCACACGCACACGCAATAGCACACGCAAACGCACACGCAAACGCACACGCAAACGCACACGCACCACACGCACACGCACATGCACACGTACACGCACACGCCGACGCACACGCCTGCGCCGGCGGCCGCGCTCCCCCCCAAAAACACACACACACACACACAGACACACGCACACACAGACACACACAGACACACAAACACACACAAACACACACACACACAAACACCCACACACACAAACACACACAAATACACACAAACACACACACAAACACACAAACACACACGCGCGGGGATTCGAAACAAAAACGCGTCGGTCACCTAACGTCGGGCTTCGATCCAAAGCGTCCCCCTGGAGGCAAGAGATCCGACACCAACGCTCTAAAAACTCATACTCCCCCTCCTTCCCCCCCGTCCACCCCAAAAGAACAAACAAACATACCTATACCGTTACTCCCCAGACCTCTCCCCCGCTCTGTCCAGAATTTCGACGAGAACCCACGAGCGCCGTGCAGCCGAGCAGCAATATCAGTATCTTTTCATCCCCAGACATTATCCGTCGTCGTGATCGTTTCGCAACGTGGCTCCCAAGAATTCTGGACCTCTTCCCGGGGACTGGCTTTTCATCCTGCGTCTGTTTTGACGGTCCGAGGGCCTGCCGAGGGCCACCAGAGGCGGAACATGGACAAAACCCCCGTTGTGATGTCTTGCCAGTGAGAGGATGTCAGGGCCGATGTCCCCTCCCCTTCCCATGGGCCAAGTGTTCGCCCCGGATCACTTGCTGATGGCTCGGCGCCCGGTAACGGCCCCCGCTGGCCGGATCAAGGGAACACCACCAGGATTAAAAGAAACACATCGTCGGAGATGTGCGATCAAGGGGCCCAAGGACACACAAATAAATACACACAAATAACAGGATCCCCAACATTTTCCCATATTCTCTGGGTTTTTATTTTCCCCCCCACTTCCCATATTTTCCCATATTTTCTGGGGAATCGACGATTAATTGTGTCTGTGTGTTGTCTCCCCTCCTGATGGGACTCTTTCTCGGACTCTGGGACAGGCGGGGGTCTTACGAAGTCTTCCTGGGACCCATCAATCTCCATTCCATGTACCATTAGCCCCCGAGCCAAAGGGAAAACGCACAATCCCAGCTGAAAGTGTGCCGTACCGACAGAGAAGGCAGCGTCCCGACGGAGGGTGTACCATCCCGATTGAAAACGCAGTAATGGGAATCTCATTCGGACTCGTTGCGAAAGGTACCCGCGTGGCCTGAATGCACGCACGCACGCCCATGCATCCAGCAGGACGCGGGTCAGAGCCCTCCACCCCCCCAGATCCCGACGTCAGGATGTTTCCAACTCCACTGGAAAAGGTTTCTCATCCTGAGTCGTTTTTGGAAGGCCGCGAATCCCTCCTTTCCCTTGCATTTCTGTACCCACGAGATTGTATGTGGTTCACTTGCAACAGCAGGCGGAGAGGCCGAACTTTACTCTCCCCTCCAAAGTTCCTATCGTAGCTCTGATTATGATGACGTCTCAGGCGAAACGCGATCCAGAAATCCGAACATCGATACCTCCAGGACAAGATGTAACTCGCCCGCCTGGGCCTCGAACTGTTTGTATCCCCAGGGGATTCTTCTCACAAGCATCGGGTTAGCGAAAACCTCTCCTCGCGATTTCATAATGGCTCGAGAGGCCTGGGCCTCACCCCCCGAGGGCAGTCCGCCCGCCCACCATGTCTCGCCGGTCCGGCGGCGCTGGCCCGCGCCGGTCCGGCGGTGCTGGTCTGGTCGGCTGGGCCACCTCCTCGCGGGCTGCCGCGATCGCCGCCGCCGCCGTCGAGGATCGAGGACTAAGCATCGCAGGGTGCGGCGCCCACCGGCGGGGCCCCAAGATCCTGGCGTCGCAGTGTTTTTCATTACGGGCGAGTCTGCCGCGTGCCGGGCCTCGGGGCTCTTGCGCGGATCGATGCAGCTCGGACAACGACGAGGGAAGATAGGGGTCCAGTGCTCCGGCCGAGCGTGCTACGCTGCTGCAGCTGTTTTTGCGACGCCGCAGCTCTCTTCGGAAGGCGCGGGGGGCTGCTCGGAAGCCCGCCATGGCCTCCGGGGAGAGGATGTCCGGCCGGAGGAGGAGGAGGAGGAGGAGGAGTAGGAGGAGAACGAGGAGGAGGAGAACGAGGAGAAAGAGGAGGAGGAGGAGGAGGAGGAGAAGAACGAGGAGGAGGAGGAGGAGGAGAACGAGGAGGAGGAGGACGAGGAGGAGGAGGAGGAGGAGGAGGAGCAGCCCCTGCGCCTTCTCGGGATGCCTGCGCCCCTCGTGCCGCCCCCTCGTGGGCGCCGTCGGGGATCAGGAGGTCGAGAGCCGAGGCCCTGACATCCGAGGAGGAGGAGGAGGAGGAGGAGGAGGAGGAGGAGGAGGAGGGAGGAAGCGGAGGAGGCGGAGGAGGCGGAGGAGGAGAAAGCGGAAAATGAGGAGGAGGAGGAGGAGGAGGAGGAGGAGGAAGCAAAGTCCGAGGTGTGAGGCTCCTTGCTGGAGAAGAGGCCTCTCGGGCCATCCCATGCGAAAACAATCGCGACACATGGCCTTTGCCCATTTTCGGCCTTCGGGGGCCCTTGTCGAGCCCAGGGGCCGTCAACCAATTGCTTAGGATGAGAAGAAGCCAGTCTCAGGGAAGAGGTCCAGACTTGTGGGGATCCACGTTGCAAATGAATTACGACGGAGGATATATTGGGTTCAAGGATGAAGGTTCTTCTGCTTTTTCGGGCCTCCAAGAACTTTCTCGTCGCCACGGCTGGGTTCCTCTCGAAACTCTGGCCAGATAGCATCCCAAGAGAGAGGCCCAGATTTCGTCGTCGTCGTCGTCGTGCTCGTCGTCGTCGTCCTCGTCCTCGGCGGCGTCCTCGACGTCGTCGTCGACGTCGTCGGCGTCGTCGGCGTCCTCATCGTCGTCGGCGGCGATAACGGCGTCCTCATCGTGGTCGACGCCCTCCTCATCATCGTCGTCGCAGGCGTCATCATAGCCGTCGTCGTCATCCCCCCGCTCCTCCTCCTCCTCCTCCTCCTCCTCCTCCTTCTCCTCCTTCTCCTACCCGCGGGGGAAGTGAGAAGGAGAAGGCCTTCTGAGAGGGCTTGAAAGTCCCCCTGCCTTGAACTGTTCTAAGCCTTCCCCGAAGACGCAAAGAACTTCTCAGAAACCCCGAAGGCTTCTGAGAAGTCCCGGCTGCAAAAGGAGAACTACGCCCTTGCGACAAGAGCCCCGAAACCGGCCTCGTCACAGAGGCAACGCGAGGGGGGGGCACGAGGGGGGGGGGGGGGGGCACGACGAGGGAGGGGGGGGTGGGACAACGAAGGGCCAAGAGGGGGGGCAACGAGGGGGGGGCATGAGGGGGGGCCATGAGGGGGGGTGGCAGCGATGGAGGGACCGCTGGGAGGGGGCACGCGGGGGGCCACGACGAGGGGGGGGGGTGAACGAGGGTAGGGCAACGAGGGGCCACGAGGGGGGGCCACGAGGAGGCGGGGAGGGGGGCCGCGATGAGAGGGCCACGGCGGAGGGGGGGCCACGACGAGGGGGCGACGGGCCCCCGATCCGGTAGCCCGGCCACGTCTGGGGGGGGCAACGATCGGGCTCCTCCCCAAAGATTCCCACTCCTATATTTCGACATGGCCGGGCCCCCCCCCCCAAAGAGGGAAGTTTGACCACCCCTGGCGCCAAACACGGGCCCAAAGAGGTCCAGTGCGGTCCCAAGGCGGCCCAAGAGCGCTCCAAGACGGCCTCAGATGGCTCCACGATAATTCAGGAAACCCTCAGAAAGCACCCAAAGGCCCTCAAGTAGCTCCAAGACGATCCAACAGGCCCTCCCAAGACGCCCCGAAGAGCCCCAAGAGAACGCCAAACAAGCCAAAATCGCTCCGTTCGTTTCGTAAACTATTAATGTTTAGCCATACTCGCTCTTGTGGTTTTCCTAGGCTCAGGCAGGTTCAAGAAACCCCCAAAATCACCCCAAAAGGGACCCAGTGGCCCCCACAAAACCCCAAGAGGGCCCGCAGACAGCCCCAGAGAGCCCCACGATGGCCCAAGATAGCCCCAAGACGGCCCAAGAGAGCCCCGAAACGGCCTGAGACGGCCCCAAAAAGCCAACAAAGAAAAACCACAAGACAGCCCCAGGAAGCTCCCGGCAGAGCCTCGCGACGGCAAGAGCTCCCCGAGACAGCCCGAAAAGGGCCCCCAAACGGCCCAAAGGGCACCACGACGATCCATAAGGGCCTCTAGGAAAACCCGGAAGCGCCCAACAACAGGGACTCGCCTCCTACTCCGTTCGTGCTTCCCCCTGCTGTGCTCACGACTGCTGGAGAAGCTGGGGCCCCAAGGGGTCGGCGAATTCGGACCTACTGGTTGGATCCTGACACAAATTGCGATAGGTGCAAGTCTTCATATGGGGCTGAGTCTGGATTTCCTATCACACGGATGGCTGTGCATCCTTATCGTGAGCAAACGCACGTACGCATGATGTCTGTCTTGTTCTCCCACAAGGTGGTGGTGTCTGAATCTTCAACCGGAAGATGATAGTTCGCTCTTCACTTGCAACTTGCCATGCCTATGTGAATCGTAGAATTCAACACTTCCCACCTAGCATCGCATACAGTAGAAGGCGGAATGCGTGGTTCAGGACTGCGTCCAAGGAAGCGCTGAAACATAGAGAAAAGCTCCCAATAGAACCGAACACGCACTGAAAGAACACCAACAACCGCAACCAACTGTCGCGAGATTCCCAGAATGCCCTGCAAGGATAAGGCCACGCAAAAAAAACTGAAACTGGTAACAAGGACGCGTTCGCAAATGACTAGTACAACTCCAATACAACTCAAGACGAAACATGATGGACAGGTGATAAATAACCGCTGTGTAGCCCCACCATGGGTCTGACGGCAATAAAGAACCTTCGTCCTTTGAGATGCTCTCTCTTCTCTCTCTCTCTTTCTCTCTCGCCCTCCCTCTCTCCCTCTCTCTTTCTCCCGCGCCCCACCTGCCGCCTGCGCGCCGATCCTGAAGAGCCAAGGTGCATGGCGCAAAGCGCCAATGCAATCTTGTATCATCTATATATATAGAGAGAGAGAGAGAGAGAGAGAGAGAGAGAGAGAGCTGCTTGCTGCAAACGGTAGGTATGCTTACCGCATACGGTAATCTCGCGCGGCGCAGGTGCGCGCAAATGACTGATGACACCGCGTCGATCGTTAAACCTTGAACCGATCGCGGCACCGATCGTTCATGGTTGAATTCCGTCGGGTTCAGAGGCGTCGCCGTGTCCATCTGTTCTCCCGCGTCGCAAGACTCAACCTTGAGCGCCTTCGCTGGCGTCGCCGGCGCGCCATCTCCGCATGATCCTACAGTAAACCACTCTTCGGGTTTTTGAGAGGTTGTTGGCGGCGATTGGCGTCGGATCGGGTTCGCGATCTGTCGATCGAACGACCTCGATACTTATTCCCCTTCTTTGACGTAGCACCCCGCAGATGCGGATAAGAGTAAGGGGGCGGTGGGCACATCGGCAGCCAGCGCGACTCTGGAGAAGCCCGCCGCAGGGGCCAAAGTTTCACAAGTTCTGCAACGAACCCGCCGCAGGCGCCACCTTCTTCGTTAAACCAATGTGGGTAGGTCGCGGGTGGGTCGAGGGTAGATCGCAAATGGGCCGTGGCTGGGTCGCAGGTGGGTCGCGGGTGTGTCGCTGTTGGGTCGCGGGTGGGTCGCGGGTGGGTCGCGGGGGTCGCGGTGTGGGTCGCGGGTGGGTCACAAATGGGTCGCAAGAAGGGTCGCGGGTGGGTCGCGAGTGGGTCGCGGGATGGGTCGCGGGTGGGTCGCGGGGTGGGTCGCGAGTGGGTCGCGGGTTGTCGCGAGGTGGGTCGCAAGAAGGGTCGCGGGTGGGTCGCAAGGTGGGTCGCGGGTGGGTCGCGGGGTGGGTCGCGGGGTGGGTCGCGGGGTGGGTCGCGGGTGGGTCGCGGGTGGGGCGATGACAACAAACAAACAACAACAACGCAACAAGCAGAATCCTAACCACAGATCCCCACTTCAGCCACGCACCCAAAGAGAATGAATGACCGTTCGGCCCCCTCACTCTGACAACGAGCCCGCCGCAGGTGCCGATTTCTTCGCTAAACCAATGTGGGTAGGTCGCAAATGGGCCGCGGCTGGGTCGCGGGTGGGTCGCGGTTGGGTCGCGGGTGGGTCGCGGGTGGGTCGCGGATGGGTCGCGGGTGGGTGGTGGGTCGCGGGGTGGGTCGCGGTGGGTCGCGGGGTGGGTCGCGGGGTTGGTCGCGGGGTGGGTCGCGGGTGGGTCGCGGGTGGGTCGCGGTGTGGGTCGCGGGTGGGTCGCGGGGTGGGTCGCGGGTGTGTCGCGGTTGGGTCGCGGGGTGGGTCGCGGGGTGGGTCGCGGGTGGGTCGCGGGATGGGTCGCGAGGTGGGTCGCGGGGTGGTTCGCGGGGTGGGTCGCGGGGTGGGTCGCGGGGTGGGTCGCGGGGTGGTTCGCGGGTGGGTCGCGGGTGGGACGACGACAATAAACACCAACAACAACAACAACATCAGCAACAACAGCAACAGCAACAACATCGACAACAATAATAACAGCAGCAACAACAATAACACCAATGATACTTTTAAGACTCTCCGCTCCTACCTGCTCACGTTCTAATCCATACGTGTATCCCAAGCCCTCGGTACCCGCCCTCGTCGTGTGTATTTAGTGCAGCCCCTAAAACAATGGAAGAGAGGACGGGTGGAAGGGGGAGAAATAATCATCGAGCACGAGAGAAAT